TTGAGGGAGTACTTGAGTGGAGGCCCAATGTCCTTCTCTCCCTTAATACTAAACCTATAAATATAGGCTCATAAATCTATTTCCCCATACTCATAAATATATTTTCATATGTACGTGTCTTTATCTAGACCTCTATAAATGTCCTTTGTCTCCCAGCTCTTTCCTCTATTTCCCTTGACTTTCCTCCTGTCCCACTATCATGCTCAGTCCCAACCAGGATTTAAGCACTTCCTCTTTGTTACATTCCCCTTGATCATGCCCTACCAGGTCTTCCACACCACCTCACCACCAATTTTATTAGCATGTTTTTAACCAGTGTTTTAAAGCCTTTTTATTAGGGCGCAATGTAGACATCAAACCTATTTGTGTTTACAAACTCAGATGCATGCATGCACATATATTCATGGGTAAAGTGAAAATAAAATGATAATCTCCTTCCCTAGTTGACCATAGAAGTCACCATTTCTTCACATTCTTAGATTTTGTAGTGCAGCAGTAGTGACTGAAAGAGTAGAGGATAAAAGAGAAAGGGGTGAAACATTTGACAGAGGCTTATTGCATAACTAGCATAAAAAACAAACACACAAAACAACTCATTGCCACCTAGGGAGTGGGAACTCTGAGCAACCCAATAAGACAGGCTATAACTGCCCGTGTGCGTCTGCTTATTGGAATAGGACGCCCCCTCTTTGTCCCTAAGAGCAACTGGTGGTTTGGAGCAACTGCCTTGGTGACTGCAGTCTAATGCATAATCACTATGCTACCAGGGCATCTCCAATACAAGGGAGCTTTGCAGTGTTTTACTTTTTTATTCAGTTTCATTTTATGCATAAACATATTGAAGAATTTAATCATGAATCCCAGACATCTCCAGGTAGACCCAATAATATAAAATTACTTTAGAAAATCATCTCAGTATGTTCATTGCATGTTCCTTGTTGAAAAAATTCTGGTTGTTCTCATAAACATTCCAAAATTTTATGGCATTTTTGTAAAGGTGTAGCTAATTGGAAGGTGGAATGATGATATTCCAAATTTTTATGGAATTAAAAGGTATTATTTTAAATATTATTTTCATTTCACGCATTTTAAGAAAGAAAGAATGGAGATCATGGACACAATTATGTAGAACCTTGTAAACATGTGAATTCTTAGAAAATCCTTTTGGCTTCTTCAATTAAAATGGGTTCCATAGACATTTTTGTTTGTTTGTTAAATCATTTTATTGGGAGGGCTCATACAGTTCTTATCACAATCCATACATCCATCCATTGTGTCAAGCACATTTGTGCATTTGTTGACATCATCATTCTCAAAACATTTGCTTTCTACTTGAGCCCTTGCCCGTAGACAGTTTTAATGAAGTTGTCTTTCTTCGTTTTCTTCCAGTTTGGATTGCAGAGAATTCTTGGAGATGAAAGAAGTCTGTTACTCTTGGCAAGAGCCATTGACCCCAAGCAAGCAAACATGATGACTGAAATAGTCAAAATACTTTCTGCTATCTGCATTGTTGGTGAAGACAGCATGTAAGTGTTGTTATGAACCAGGGCGGGGCGGGGTGTGTGTGTGGTGGGATAAAAACTTGGGAATTAAGTAAATACAATTTTTCTTTGTTTTCCTTTGTTAACTTCTATGAAAACCTGACATTCTGTGGATTAAAAAAATGAGCTTGGGACTAAGAGAGATAATCTCAATGGGGGATTCTTTAAAATTGATTTCATAGGGATCAAATTGTGAACTCTGTATCTGTGGATAAAGTAATCACTAGAAAGAAAAGTGGAAACCATTTAGAACGTCATTTTGGCCACATGCACATAGAGATACATGCCCAACGTGTACACACACAATTTGACTTCTTGAAGTAAATGCTTACCTACATTCTTTTATTTTATTTTGTTGTTTTACTTTAGAGTAACATTTTACTTTATCTGTTGTGGGTAAGTAAATAGATTCATAAATTACTCATACAGTGAAATAAACTAATACCCCTCCCCTAAACATTTCTTGTAATTATTTAGAAAGTATGTATGTGCCAGACCCAACTAGTAGTGGTTGATTAAAAAAATGAAATATCACCTAAGAAATTACACTGAAATATTTTTTGACCATTTCATGTACCAAGAAGAATCTTATACATATTAGAACAAAGTAAAATGTTAATGCTTACTAGTGTCCTTAGAAAGCAAACAAGAAATGATTAACAAATAGGTTAGTAAGCCTTATCTCAATGAAAAGTGAGACTGAAATAACATGCAAATGTAAGGAGGTTTTATAATAGAAAAAACTCAGTTTGTATGTGAGTAAGAAATATTGTTGAAGCAATTGGATTTTCAATACTAAATTCATAAAATCTGACCTACCTGGTTTGATTGTTAAGGAATCCTCATGATGTCTTTAATACACACTCTCCTGCTAACAGTTAGCACCTAACCTATGAGCCAAAGATTTAAACCTGCCCTACCAGCTGATCCATAGGAGAAAGATGTTATAATCTGCTTTCCATAAAGATTTCAGTCTTGGAAACCCTTCGTGGAAATTCTGTCCAACCCAAGGCCACCAAGAGTTTGAATAAACTTGATGGCTATGTTTGTGCTTTCTGTGTTATTATTATGCATTAATAACAATTTTAGGTGTCTTTTGAGAAGAGTTTTATAGTACATAAGATTAATTTGATTCAGACATTATCATGATATCCTATATATATATTTTTTTTTTTCAGGTAAATTAGTTTCTTATTGTAGGTAATTTTGGATATTAATTTTCTTTGAATTTCTATAATTATATTATGTTCAAACAGAATTAATGTATATTTTAATACTCTGAATACTAAACTTCAAAAGGATTTCAGTGTTTATTATGCAAAATTTAAGATACATCGACCAGAAAAATGTCTTCAAATATATTTAATTAAATTGTTATTTTATTGTTCTAAAATAATTTCCATCAATCAGTGGTTGTCTCACAGAAATAGGTGAGTAGAAATACAATTCTTAAATTGTAATGGTTTACAAAATATTACATCCTAATAAATCCTATGGGATGTTTCTACTGTCACATATAACCTAAAACACCAAAAAGTAATCAAGAAAGACTAGAAAACATGATTCATACTTGTATTGTGTTTGTAAGATATGTTTCTTATGTCTGTCTTTCTTCTTCTCTATACAGCCTAGATAAGCTTTTAGGAGCGATCACGACAGCAGCAGAAAGGAATAATCGGGAACGTTTTTCAACCATTGTTGAGGGATTAGAAAATCACGAAGCCTTACAATTACAGGTGAGTTAATTTTGTTTAACATGTCTCCAGAGTTTTATTTGGTTTAGTTATTTTGTATGATGCCAATAGCATTTTATTTGAAATTTAGAATGGAATAGAAAAATTAATTTCTTCTTGTTTGATCATTTATAAAAGCTAGAGATCTGTGAGAGTAACAGAAATTTGTTTAACTTAAGAGACAGTACTTCTGTGGAAAAAGTGTGGCTATTATATTTATTGTTAATACTTGGATCAAAATTTAGTAATGAATGTAATAAACTGGAGATTTTGAAGTTTAGAAGAAGTTAGCATCTCCTTCAATGCTGTCATCTTAACAAGTATTAATAAAGTATGTGGACTTGTAGAAATTTAAGGTAGCTTAAATACATTTGTTTCATTCACACATTCAAAGTTCCATTTCACCGAAATGGAGTGGACTGAGTGGTAACTGTTAGGTCAGGATGCTTGTGATAAACTTGTAAACTCCCAGCTTACATGTCTTTACAAGACCAACTTTATAAAAGGAAATTTGGAGCTAAATATTTTATTTTGCATATATTTTCTGATTTCATCCTCTCAACAACCCAACTATGTAGCAATGTTCATTCCATTTTGCTTCTGAGGTAAGAAAGCTTGATGTTATTGGCTCTTGAAATCAAGTCCATTTTGACTTGTTTGAACCAAATATGTGCAGAATAGAGTTACTCCCTATGACAGCCAAGGTAGTGACTGTTTACAAACAGATTTCTAGGTCTGTTTTCCAAGGCACCTCTGGGTTCTAAACCTGGACCTGTTAATTAGTATTCAAGCACTTTTTAGCATAATAAGAGGTTTTGGTAGTCCCCCCTCCCCGCTGTTTCCCCTTGATTTCCACCTCAAATAGAGTTTCCAACTCTAGTGCAGAGATAGTTGGCTTGTCTAAAGAGAATTTGCAGTATTGCAAATATGTAATTTCTTTTGAAATATTTAAAGATCCTTGTTAATCCTTTCTTCTACTATTCCAAGTATTATGGGAATTAAAAAATAAAACACCCAAACTTTTATAATGTTCCTTTTGCACTCAATTTTAAAAATTGGCTTGTGTCCTTCTGGTGCTCTCATTTTATCATTTATCTCAATGAAATGTAATATTTGTGTTGAATTGTTTGGGAGCTGTGATTTGGATAGCTTCTTGAAAAGACTGTATTATTCTTGGGAGTCATTGACATTCAGACATGTACACAAGTTTATGTTTTCATTGCGATTTGGAATTGTCTGTTGTGATAAGGATACTCTTTAAATTTTGTATATGATTTGCCATACTTGGGTCATGCATTTTTACATATGTAACTGTATTCGTAGGAATTTATTTTTAATCACAGATCCGTTAGTTAGATATTATTGTTTCCAGTTTATAGATGAGGGAAATCATGAGGTGAGAGGCTAAGTAGCTTAGTCAAAATCACACAACTCTTAAATAGAACTGTGATTTGAACCCTGGTCTTTGTAATGCCATCATAGGTATACTGTAATGCCAATTTTTCAAACGTGAAACCACCCCCAAAGAGTAATTCTCCCTACAGAATTTGATGGGATTGACAATGTGCTGGTTTTCATGAAGATGAACCGAATGAAGTGATGTAACAGCAAGTTGTTAATGAGTAACACATGGAGGACACATAGCCATTAGGTGCTCAGAAATTGCTAATTACTGATTATAGATGGAAACATGCAAACCACAGTATGAAATGCCCTTTTATTTACAAAGTTATAAAATTAGTAATTTGCTATATACAGAAGAATATACAAGAATTGTGGAGTGGGCTTTTTTTGACTCCCTCATATGGATGAAAAAATATAATCTAAAAGTTCAAAAGCGTTCAGATTTCAGAAATTTTAAAAAGTTAAGTTTGTTGTTTAAAAAATATAATTACCTGTATGCTGTATTTTAATAGAATTACTTTTTCTATTTCCATAATATCTTGAGAATTCTCAAAATGTTATTACAGTCTCAAGAAGTAATTCTGCTAAAATACAGCACTAATTATATTTTTAAATAAAAACTATATAACTTTTTTTTCATGTTTGATTTTAAAATGGATCATTATCTTCTAGATTTTTCTCTCATTTATCTTTAAAATGAAATTGTGTTACCATTGTGAGATTTTCATTATCTGCAGTAGCTCAGAATGCGTAAAATGTAAATCATGTATCTTGTGATCTCTATTGACTGTGCTTCAGCTTAGTAGCTTTCTCAAGTCTCATTTAGAGTACAATACTTTCTTCTGATCCTATTTATACCACTTACTGCCTTTTATCTAATAGTTCAAATATCTAAAAGAATCCACTATAATTACCATATATACTCAGGTATAAGCCGAGTTTTTCAGCACATTTTAAATGCAGTTTTTGTGGTAAAATTAGTTGCCTCCGCTGATATTTCGGTCAGTTTATAGTCGAGTATATATGTAACTTTCTCTGCCTCTTAAATTATCTTTGATAACTTTATTTTTTCACAGTTCTCACAAAGGGCAGCAATGATTCTTTGATTTCAAAATCCTTCTTCTTTAACGCAGTCCTGATCAAATGGACCTAGTGATCATATTTCTCCTTCTTGCAAATATGGAGGCACTATTGCTCCATGCTCTCTGATTACCTCCTTTTAATTTTGATCTTTTCTAATTCTTTTTCTTGGATACTTTTTTCTTTATAGTCTATCCTTTATTCTCTTTATTGGCATTTTCTTTACAGGGATATAAACACTTATGTATATGTACACACCCATATAATTATGTGTATGTGTATATGAATGCATACATTACCTTATAGAGCTTCTCTAGCTTTAACTGCCAATTATGTTCTGCTAATTCCCCAGATTTATAAGTCCTGTTTATAGACCCCTCTCTAATCTTATGTGAATTTCTAAATGCCTAACTCACGGTCTTATAGATATCTAGGTAAAAATCATTTATAACCCATTGAACAAGCAATGGTTCAAATGCTTTGCATGTTATCTTAGTTTAAATCTGCAAGGGAAAGAGTAGTTATTATACCTATTTTATAGATTAGTAAACTGGGACTCAAAGAAATTAATGGGCTTTCCAAGAGTCACAAACTCTATCAAATAAGTCTCATATCAAGAAAGACCTGATCTTTAATTATAGTATTTTTACTCTTATTTTCTTTCTTCTGAGTTGGTCAGTGAGCCTGCTTGTCCTCTTTTCATCCACAGAGGACTAGAAAGAACAGGTTGGAAGGTTGGAATATGGTTTATTCCAGACTGCTGTATTGAAGTCATCAAGAGATACTTATAGACACAGTGCATATAAAGGCGGAGACAGAAAATAATGAAAATCTGAAACAAGAGTTCAAAAGTGGAAATATTTTATTTCATTCAGTTTCAGGACAAATAGTCCTACATACTTCAGTAGCTCCTGAGAGTGAATCTGTATTGAGCATAATTCACTCACATGTTTAATAATGCCCCTGAGTTAGCAAAAAACAAAACAAAACATAGGACCCTCATGTGGTTCAGTTGTTAAAGAGCTCAACAGCTAATGAAAAGGTTGGTGATTTGAAACCTCCAAGTGATTCCATGGGAGCACAATGTGAGTCTGCTATTTTATAACTTTTGAAACTCTATTGCAAAGTTCTGCTTTGTCCTATAGGTTCATTATGAGTTGGCTTTGACAGTGGGTTTTGTTTGGCTTATATTTAGAAACAAAAAGCAAAACCAAGCTCGCTGCTATTGAGTGAATTGTGGCTCATTACAGGGCAAAGTAGAACTGCTCCTGTGGGTTTCGGAGACTGTAACTCTTTACAGGAGTAGCAAACCATATCCTTCTCCCTAAGTGTGATTTCGGAGGTGGGAATTCAGTAATTCATTTCAAAAATAATTCTTTGCTGAAACAAATCTCTAGTGTATGAACCATTTTTCTCTATAGCTTCTTTCTTTCCATGGTGGTTCACAGGCAGTTGGGACTTTACACCCAATACACTTGTAAATTAGATATTAGTACATGCTTACCATCACAAATGAGATAGTGCCTTGGGACAAATGACTTATCATTTATTTATGAAGGTAGATTTTAAAAATAAAATTAGACACAGATGGTTACAAATAAAGTAGAAATATATTATTATTTTACATGTTTCTTATTTGGCGATTCTCAGGAAATCTGTTCAATTTAATAGTAGTTTCTACCTTACTACAATTTTTATAGTATAAATGCTACAATGAAGGGCTATATAGAGGTATTCATACAATGAAATCATTTTGTGCAGTGCCTAAGTTATTCAGCTGTTAACTGAAAAGTCATCAATTTGAGCCCACAAGGCAAATATTAGAGGAAAGTGTGGCCATCTATTCCCATATTTACAGCCTTGAAAACCTGAGAGGGAAGTTGTTGTTTTTTTCTGTCCATAGGTTCTCAATGATTTGAAATGGATCTGAAGCAATATTTTATTTAAAATATTTTTCCAGTAATTAAAAAGCATATTGTAAAGGATGACATCTATTTTTTCAGTTAAATGATTATTCGTCCAAAAACCAATTTTCAAAAGAGAGAGCTACCATTGACTTCCATAAAAGAAAACAGTAGACATTTTTGAAGTGACATGTCGGGTTTGGTATCTTCAAGAGCTTTGGCAGTTGATCACTCCTTTATCAAAACGTACCTTCCCCAGTTCCCCATTTCCATGATACTTAGCTCTCCTGTTTTCTTTTTTACCCCCTTGCCTCTTTATTTTCTTCAATGCCCCTCTTTTTTTTTAATGCTGAGCTATTTCTTCTCCTCTGATTCTTACAGTGTGATACACCATCTTTTGCATTTTTCACTATGAACATTTTCCTAGTTTAGTTTCAAATAACCTTCTACCTCTGACTCTTCTACTCCACATTACTCTTAACTCACAGATTTAGGATGTTTAACTCTATACAGAGTAGATTCTGAACTCAGTATTCTCCTTGATTGTTCTTAACTCCCCCCTTTTCTTCTTCCTTCACACTTGAATCACTTTTCCAACCTTCAACTGCATTCCTC